AAAAAAAAAAAAAAATAGAACAGAACAAAACAAAATAAAACAAATAAAAAAAAAAAAAATTTTTTTTTTTTTTTTAATAAAATTAAGTCTATTCTTATTATTTCTAGTAATTTGTAGTAAATTTGATATTAACTGTATAATATATATATAAAACATGCTAAACATAACAAAATTTAATAAAAATTTACAAAACAAGGAAAATTAAAAATATATGCTTAAAATTAGGTATTTCATTTTTTAGAATATTATAAAAAATTTACATTTTCATTATTAATAGTAAAGTAAGCTTTTTGTCTTATATTGCTAATTTTATTTAATTTTTATTTTTCTATGATATTTTTTAAAAATTGTTACAAATAAAAATATAATAATTTTAGACTTTATCTTAGTAGCATAATACAATATTTTTACACAAGTTACTTTTTAATATTGTAATTACTATTTGTTCCACTTTTATTATTCTAATTTTTTTCATTTTTATTCTTTTTAATTCTTTTTCTTTTTACTTTTTTATAAGTTTTACTTGTATTTCATATATTTTTATTTCTATTAAATATTATGTATAATTTTATTAAAAATTCACAAAAATGTACACTTATTTTACTAGGCAAAAATTAATGATCAAAAAATAAGATTGTCTAATGTATTAAATAACAAAAAAAAAAAAAAAAAAAAAAAAAAAAAAAAAAAAAAATTTCATAAATTTATATTTATGCTATTTTATTTTTATTTTATAAATGTATATATATATCACGATAATACTCTCCACTTTAACTAAAAATTAGAATTATGCACTTAGAATAGTTTACGAATAAGAAACTTCGTGAAAGAATAAACATTTTATCATTTATAAATTCATAATTTTTACGAGTTTCCTAATTATCTTTTTTCTTTTTTTTTTTTTTTTTTTTTTAATATATATAAACTATTATAAACAAAATTATATTATTTAATAAATAATTAGTAATTATTTTTTTTTTTTTAATTTAATGAACTTTAGGGAAATATGTATCTATTAAATAAATAGAAAATATGCATGCAACAATGGGAAAAAAAAAAAAAAAAAATATATATATATGTACGGATTCATATATACAAAAATATATATATGTAATCATTTAAAATTTTACAAATATATTAAATTTTTCTTAATTTTTTATAATTAATTTTTTTTTGTTAAAGTATAATTAAAAATGATAAAATTTGTTAATCAAAAATAATTAAAAAATACAAAATAATAGTAATAAAAATATAAAAATAAAATAAATGTGTAATAATAATTTTTCTTTAAAAAATTAATTTGGCATACTTTAATTTTAAAACTTCTAAGATAATGAAAAATTCTTTTGACCTGGAAAAAAAAAAAAAAAATAAAATTATATTTATATTATTATAATTATATTTAAAAGTATAAATTTTAATTTATATATAAAAAATATGTTTTCATGTATAGCTAAAAAAAAAAAAAAAAAATATTACCTTCACGAATAGCATAAAGTAATCTATTTTTTAATTTTTCTTTATCTTTGTAATCAGGAATTTTTAGATAATTCGTGCAGGTCATAACACTAGGAAGATCATTATTATCTTCTTTTTTAACTACTTTCATTAAAGGTCTACATAAAAATAAATTAGAATATTAAATAAATTAATCTTTGTATAAAAAATATTGTATTTTTTTACTAAAAATTTTTTTTTAAAAGCATATCTTTACTTTAAAGCTGAAAATCCGTTGTTCGGTAGAGAAGATGTACCAGTGCAAAATTTGACAAACATTCGTCTCTCTTCATTATTAAATTCAGATAATATTTCAATTAATGTAATAAATGTAATAGAATCATTTGTATAACTACAAAAAAATAAAATAAAATAAAATAAAATAAATATATCTGTTAAATATATTTACTAGTTTTATTATTATTATTTTTTTTTATAAATACCCATGATCTGGTTTAATATATGTAGATAAGTGTGATTTGGTCCAATAAGCATCATTTTCTATATTGCTTCCAAATAAATAATCGCAAATTTCTTCTTCATCAAAAATATTTGTACATATTAATGGTGCAATTGTACTAAATCCAAATCGAAATGCCCATATCTTAATTATAACAAAAAAAAAAAAAAAAATATATTTATATATACATATATTTATATATACATATATATATATATATATATAAATATATATAAATTACTTGAAATTTAATTCCTTCATATAAAGAATATTCAATGGTTTTATTAATAAACATATTTAAATTTTCATTATTGACTGAAATATTTGAGCCATTAGGTATTAATTCTACAGGTGGATCACTTCCTATTAATATAAAAAGATATATATATATATAAATATATTTATAGAAACAAATAATTCTTAGAATATATATATTTAATAATTTCTTTTTTTCTTTAAATTTTATTATTTTATTTTTTCTTTAATTAAAATATTGAATATTAAAATTTAAATTAATAAATCACCTAATAAAGTAAAATCTAAATGCAAGTCTTCTATATTTTTGTTTTCTTTTCTATATTCTAATAATTTATTTATACTATTCATATTTACTCTATCAATCTAAGTAAAAAAAAAAAAAAAAAAAAAAAAAAATATATATATATATATATATATATATATTTCAATTAATTAAATCATATAATTCATTTTTTTTTTTTTTTATTTTCTTACTGCTTGATAATGATGAAATTTCGATAAGTTAATATATCCAGAATTATTCATTACCATATACCAAAATAATGGATGTAAATTAATATTAACATTTCTATTATCTGTTAATATTTTAGCACATAATTGACCTAATAATTTGAAATATTTAAATAATCTATTTTCTATAGTATCTTGATTTATATTTACAGACTTTTTCTTATTTTTTTCATTTGACTTTTTATTTATATTTTCATTTGTTTTCATATCATCATTTTCATTTATTTTTTTGTTAGAATTTTCATTTTTATTTTCATTATCTTTTTTATCAATAGATTTATCTTCTTCTTTTTCTAGAATTTTGTTTACAGTTTTATTTTCTATTTCACTAAAAAGGGAGTTAATTATATTATGTGTTACAGATTGATTTAGTTTAATTTGATTATTTAAATTAATCTTCTTGGTTTCATTTTTCTTTTTTAGATTCAAATTATTTTCTTCTTTCAAAAAATTTTCTTCAAAATCTTTTGTAAATAATTTATATTTTTTTATTTGAACTTTTTTATTTTCTTTTCCATCTATTTCTTTTTTTTCGTTATCTATTATTTCCTCATTTTCTTTCATTTTAATTTCTTCCTTAATCTTTTCTTTTTCGATATTTTTGTTTTCCTCTTTATCTTTTACTTTTTCTTCTTTTTCTTTTTCCTTCTCTTTTTTCTCTATTTTTTTCTTTTTATCTATGTCTTCATTTATTCTTTTTGCGTCCATACCTTTATCTAATAACTTACAACAATTTTTCCTATTTTTTTCTTTTAAATTTATGCTGTTTTTGCGTTTTGGTTTGTTAGATATATCTGATATATCTGCAATTTTTTCTAAGGAAGGATTATTTGACGAGCTAATTAAAGGTTCTTTAATTTCACTTAATTTCTGTAGGTTACTTTTATCATTTTTCTTTTTTTTTTTTGCACAATTTTTTTCTTTTTCTTCTTCTTTTTCTATTTCTTCATATTCATTTTCTTCTCTATTATCTTCCTCAATTTCATCTTCATTATCATAATCTATTTCATCATATATTTCTTCATCTTCTAAATGATCATCTGTTTCATCATCATCTTCGTATTCTTCCTCATCTTCATAATCATCAATTTCTTCTTCTTCTTCTTCATCTTCCTCTTCTTCATAATCATCAATTTCTTCTCCTTCTTCTTCTTCATCTTCCTCTTCTTCATAATCGTCAATTTCTTCTTCTTCATCTTCTTCCTCTTCTTCTTCTTCCTCTTCTTCTTCTTCTTCTTCTTCTTCTTCCTCTTCTTCATCTATTTCAACTTTGTCATTTTCTCCTTCCTTTTCTTTATTATCATCAATTGCTACTTTTCCTTTTTCTTTGTTCTCATGTTTTTTATCTGAGCTGATGATTTTTTTTTTATTTTCTTCCTCATTTTTTTTTTCTTTTGTATCTTCATCTACATAACGTCTAATTCTTTTCTTTTTATTTTTATCTGAATTAATATATTCTTCATCTAATTCTGTTTGTTCTTTTAAATCAAAAATATTACTTTTTTCTAACGCTATATTATGATTTTTATTATACGATTCTTTTTTCTGTATATTATTGTTATCTTTTCCTTTTTGTTTAGTTCCTTTAGATCCTAGATGTGTTAGTGCATGTTTATTTTTTTCTTCATTTACTTCTTTTTTTTTTTTTTTATCATTACTATTTCGATTACTTTCCATATTAGATGAACATTTTTTTTTATAACTTTTTCCACTTTTATACTTTTTGGAATTTTTTTTACTATTATCAGAAATATTTTTAAAAAATTTTTTATTTTTTTTATTTCTTATTTTCGTATCTAATAATTCTATTTCTGATATATCATCATATTTATTTAAATTTTTTGTGTTCTTTTGAAAAACATTTGAGTTCATTGAAAAAAGAAAATGGTTTATAAGATTATTAACAGAACTATAATTATTTGCATTTGATCCTTCACTAATAACATTAATTCTTTTATTCGAAGATGAAGATTGATAAGAATTAGAATGAAAAGAATTATAAGACTTATTTATTCCCATTAAATCAGAACTTTTGGGTTTCTTTAATAAATCAAAATCAAAATTATCTAAATTAATTTTATATGATAAAGGAAAAAGATAATCATCTTCAATTTTAAATAATTTTAATTTCTCTTTTTTTAATTCTTCTATAACTTCGTTATAAAATTCTAAAGATGGACCTATACCTGTGCCTTCTTCATTAAAAAATTCTATATCTAAATATGATGGAGTAATATAATTAGAATTAATAAAATGTAAATGATTAAAAATACGAAATGAGGAATCAATCATTTTATTTCTATGTAATTTAATTTTTGTTCTAGGTAAAGTTAACGTGGTATTATCTGATAAAAAATTGAATAATTTTTTCTTATCATAATTGTATGTATAATTAGAACATACAGACAAAAGATGTTCTTCTGTTAATATCCTATTTCCAAAGTTCACTTTCTCATTAAATTTTTCTACTAACTCTTTTATTTTCTGCTTATAATTATAAAAACCTCTATAATTACCAAAATAAATAATTTCAAAAAATAATAATCTAATATCAATATCTACTACAAAATTAAATAAATAAAATATTTTATATATCCATGATGGTAATTTTTCACTAAATATAAATAAAGGGTTATTCAAATAGTAAATAATTTTATTATTTATACTATTTAATAAAAAATTTTTTTTTTTTATATTTTCTACAGATACATTATTTTCTTTTTCACTTCGATTTTCAAAAATATGTTTCATTTTACTTATTTCTCCTTTTGTATACTCTGTTAGTACAATATTATTTTCATTATTTGACTTAATCATTTTATTTTCTTGATTGTTATTTATATAAAAACTAAGAAGAGATGAAATATCACATTGTTTGAAATATTTACATAATAAAAATAAAAATTTAAAAAGTAAAAAATTGTATACATTTTCTATAAAAATATCTTTTTCTTCATTTTTTTCAATTTGATATTTATCTTCTTTCTCAGAATTCGTTCTTCCTTTTTGTTCTTCCTTTTTTATATTATTTTTTTTAATCATTTCACTGTATATAGGCATATAATTATATAATAAATAAAATTCTTCTTTTTCCTTTTCTGTAACATTTTCTTTCAACAAAAATGATGTATATTCGTAATTATTTCTTATTTCTTTATTATCTTCAATTTTAAAGAAATTTTCTTTCTTATATTTTTCAAATAAACATTTCTCTTTTTTTCTAGTTACTTCAATTTGATCAACACAATTTTTTCTTTTTAAAATATTACCTTTTCCTTTATGCATTAAAAAATTAATATTATGTAAATGTGTACTTAGCATAATATCTTTATTGATATAATGATCATCAAAAAATATAAGCTCCGTTGCTTTTGTCATTTCTTTTTTCAAATAATTTGATAAATATATAGAATCATTTTCTACAAAATTACAATGTGAAAATGAAAATTCTATTTTTTTATTTTTATATCTATTTTTTAAGTAATCTATTAAACATGATGATTTTTCCTCTTCTGATTTATAGCATAATATTGATTCTTCATCCTCTTTGCTTGAGTTATATTTATAAAGAAGATGATCTGTTTCACAATAATTTATTTCTCCCTTTTGCATTTTATCATCATTTATATTAGTTTTCAAAGAATTATAAAAACTTATCTTATCCTTTTTTTCATCATATTGATTATTTATATCATCATGTGAATTGGAATTATATAAATATTCTACTAAATCGAAAGAAATATTATAAAAATTATATTTCTCATTAATAACTTTACAGTATAATGGCGTATCTATACTACTCTTTATTTTTTTATAGGTATTAACATCAACATAAGTGTAAATATCCTTTTCATTTTCATTTCTTTCACAATATTTTTTTTCCTCATTGTAATCAGTTGTAGTTTTTTTTTTTTTTAAAGTAACAAACAAATTGTTTTTATTATTTATTTCATCATCTATTACGTCTGAGCATCGTTCATCATTTTTTCTTTTTTTTATAATTTTGTAATTTATATTGTGAGAATTATTACTACTGTCCCATAGATATTTTATCTTATTTTTTAAGTTATAATAATTCGTTTCAAAATTTTCAACAACATCGTTATAAACATAAAAATTTTCCATATTATAAAATATATTTTCTTCTGTTAAACATAAGGAATTTTTGTTGATATAATATACATTATCTAATTTTATTAAATACTCAGATAAACATGAATCACTATGAACATCTATTCCATTAATAGATAAAATAATTAAATCTTCACTTTTTGAATCATACTTTGAATAAAAGTTTTTATTATTCTTGTTTATATTTTTTCTTATAAAATTTTCTATTTTATTAAATGATTCAAATATATTGAAAGATCCTTGTAAATTTCTTCTTCTGTCAATAATATTTCTAATAAAATGATCATTTGCATAAATATTTTCTCCTGATAATGCATTTTTAAATGTTAAATTTTTAGATATCTTATTTAATAAAATAGTATTATCAGTTGATTTTTTATAATTTGTCTTATTAATTTTAGATGGAATATATAATTCTTCTTTGTTATTACTACTTTTTTTATCATCTAAATAATTTATTTCTTTCTCTAATTTTTCTTCTTCATTTTTATCACTTTTTATTTGTTCTGCACATAGTGAAATTGGTATTCCTTTATTTAAAGAATTAAAAACAGAAATATTATCTATATAAAGACCGTTTCTTCTTAAATGTATTGGAAAATGGCAATTATAATTATTATATATACTTTTATTTTTTTTTTTGTTATTCCTGATATTGCTATCATTAAATATATAATCATAAAAAGAATCTTTTTGTATATAATCAAAGTCATTTTTATAATTACTTGAATTAAAATAATCATGAAAATTATATTCTTTTTTGTTATTAATTTTTAAAACCTTTTTCTTCTCTTTATTTAATTTAGTGTATGGAATTGAATTATATTTTTCCTTTTCTTTGCTTACTTCTTTTGTTTCCTTTATTATTTCTACTTCTTTTTCTTTTATCTTTCCTTTTTCTACATCTTCTTTTCCTTTGTCTTTTAATACCCTCTCTTCTTTTTCTTTTGCTATACTATCTTCTGTTTTGTTTTTAATATTTTCTTTTTCTGCTTCATGTCCTTTTTTTAAACTTTTATTTTTTTTTAATTCATTTTTTTCATTATTTTCACTGCTATTTATTTTTTTTTCTACAGTATTTTCAATAGGACATTCTTTACTATTAGAATCTTCTTTTCCTTTTTTTTTTTTTTGTTTTACATTTTTTACAATTGTATCATAGCTTTTTTTACTTTTCAAATTAAAAAAGGAGTTATTTTTTAATGAAGGAAAATCATCATAACTCTTCATCCATCCTAATATATTATCTTCTCTTCCTTGATCTTGTTCTATATCATTATTTTCTCTAAAAAAATATATAGGTAAATTATCATATATATTTAGACATTCTTTCGTTAAATTTATAAGTAACAAACAATTATTGAATGAAAGATTATTCATAATTAAATAGTAATGATAAGAATCAAAAATTTCAATTACTAAAGATTCTATTTTTTTAAATTCATTTTCATCAATATCTTCAACATTCTTTTTTAATATATTACAAAATATATTATACAGTGCTTTTATACTATTTAAAAATAAATTATTTACTAATTCTTCCTTCTTATTATCATTGGTAAATAATAATGCATATAAAAAAATGTATAAACGAATATTTCTATCAATGCTCTTTAATAAATTAAAAATATTTTTTTTATTTTTTTCTTTCGTTAAATCAAAAGCAAAATTAAAATCTTTTTTGTTTTTTTCTTCTTTTTCTCCTGAATCACAATGAAATAGTTTTTGAAATAAAAAGAAATATAAACGCTTTGCTATGTTATACTGATAAAAGTATATTGAAGAATTTTCATTCATTAAGGATAAATTATAAAATAAATTAATCAAATAATAATAACATAAAACTATGTTATTATAACATGTAGTTTCATCTACAATTAAGTTACATATTGTGTATGAAGATGAATGTTCTTTTTTGCAATCATTATAATTTTCATAATTTAAAAATAATGTTGTAAATTCTAATGCAACATTTTTCATTTCTCTATCATGATGAAAAAATAAAAAGTTATTTTCACAATTATATGAACTCTTAGCATTAAATATATCATAAAAGTAGAGAAATATAATATTATATATTTTCTTATTTGTACAAATACATTCATTCTTTTCAAGTTCATATATTTCTTCCTTTTTTTTTAGTAAAATCTTATTTATAATACTTGTTAATACAAATAAATATGGTTCTTCAAAATTATTTAGCGTACTTATATCATTAAGAGAATTTCCTATTTTGTTAGATGTGTAGAAATTAACAATATAATTATTATTTTTATTTATTTTTTTATTTATAGATGAAAAAATTGGTTCTTTACATATTAACATGTTAAAATGTTCAATAATTTTGCATAAAATAATCCCACTTATAACAGACGATTCTGATAAATTATTAGAAATAATACTTTTTATAAAAGAATATAACTCTTTATAAAAAGAAAAAATATAATCTATACATTCAACAAAATCTGAATTGTTGTAATAAAAAAAAGATATTTTATATAATGAAATAAAAAGTGATAAAGAAATAACTATGCACAAATATTTAATATCAAAATATAAAGCACCTTCATATATACTATATATATTTGGTATAATTATTTTTATAAGAGTCATTAAATAATTAAAATTATTTTTATAAAATTCTAACTTATGCTTTTTAACATCAATAGGAAACTTATATATTATATAACCACATTTTTCATAATTAAAAAAAGGATATAAATTTTTTTTTTTTGAATTTGCATTATCTGTATTTTTATCCTTTTCTTTATCTATGTCAATATTTTTATCTTTATCAAAATTTACATTTTCTATGAATATATTATCATTTATATTTTTTTTTTTTTCATATTCATAAATTAGTAATCCATCATATGTACATATGGGAAGAAAGGAATATAATGTAAATAAGATATATATAATTAAAAAACTATTATTCTGAAATTTCTTATTTTGAAAAAATTCATTAAACTTATTTAAAAAATCACTATTACAAAAATTTTCAAGTATATTATTACTATAATGTACAAATATAGATATTATATAAAAAGTTTCCATAAAAGCATATAAATTATCTTCAATTTGACATTCAATTAATAACTTAATAATATTGTTCCTTATATTAATATTATAAACACTTTCTATTTCTGAACTTAATTTAAAGTATGTATTATCATTATTGTTTAAATTAATCATGTTTAATAATAATTTATTATAATAATTACTACTACTATAATTTTCTCTCATTTTGTTACCATCCTTGCAAGTTTCTTCATAATTACTAATATCCCACAAATTATTTTCTTTAGAATTTATTGAATTACTATTATTATTTTTATCTTTTAAAGCTTTCTTATTTTCTAAAACAAAATAATTTGACTCTTTTCCATTGCAAACTGAATCTTTGTAGACAAAATCACCTTTTAAATCATCAATCGTACTTTTTAAAAAAGAAGTAAGTATATTAATATTTTCATTTGAATTATTACTTTTACTAATTATATGTGAATTATCTTTATCGTATGCATTTAAGTTATCTATGTCACTTTGCTCGTTTTTAATACTTTTTTTATTATTTTCACTTAAATTATTTTTTTTTGTACTACTACTATTATTTATTTTATCATAATCACAACCACTACTATCTTTTCTTATTTTTATTATTTCTTCATCACTATTTTCTTTTTTTTCTTCTTCATCTTTTGTAAAATTTTTTGTTTTTTTTTTATTTTTCTTATTTGAATTTTCTTTTTTTTTTTTTTGCTCTTTATTTATTTTTTTATTATCTTGCTCATCTATGAGATTTATACTTTTTTTATAATGTAAATCGTTAGTATACTCTTCATCTGATATTTCAATAACTTCCTCTTCTTCATGTTCTACTTTGGTTTTTTTATTCTTTTGATCCTTTATATTTTTTTCCTCTTCAATTTTATATGAAGCATCAATCTTCTTTTTATTCTCTTCAGTTAAATTGCTACTTTCTATTTTCTTTTTTTTTTCCTTTTTATCAATTAATTTACTTAAATATGATGCTTCTTTTGTAGTCTTTTTTGAAAGATGTTTTTCTTTTTTTCTTAATTTGTTTTCATCTTCTAATCGTAACGTGATCATTTTATCAAGTAATGATCTCCATAAAGTGCATATAATATTTAATATGTGAATGTAATGAAAATGAAAAAAGTTAACAAATATGCTACAATATGGTGTAATATACTTGGTTATATGTTTATATTTGGTTATATTATTAATCATTTGAATAATACAAAAAAATATTTTTTTTTGAATATTAACGTTATAAAAGTCGATATGCATTAACATATATTTAATACTTTTTTTTTTTAATATAAACATAGGATCTTTTTCTACTAATTTTTCAAAAATTTTCAGGATAACTTCGGCTACATCAATATATTCAATATCATTTAACTTTCTATTTAATATATATACTCCATCTTTATTATTAATTAAGTATTTTATAGAATTGGGATATATATCTAAAATGGTATATATACAACATGTTGCAGTATAAATAATATTAATATATTTTACATCTATAGGATTTGCATCGTTAAGAAATAATTTTTCATTGTTTGATTCTATGCTACATTCGCTTGTCACACTTGAACTACTAGACTGATCAGAATATGTATCCAATTCACTACTTTCTTCATCTGATTCTATTATAACTTCTTTTTTGATACTACCTTTTTCTTTGTCTTTTTCTTCATCTTTAGTATTAAAAATTTCAAATTTTTTTCTTTCTTTGTCATTACTGTTTTTATTTTTTTCTGTATCTTTTTTTTTTTTTTTTTTTTTTTTTTTTTTATTATCACTGTAATCTGAATCACTATCATTATTATCAAAATCAGAAGCATATACACCTATGTGTTCTTGAATTATTTTGAAAAAGCTATTAATACCACCACCTACTACTTCATTTATTTTATCAGAAGATACTTTTTTATCATTTAATGAACTTTTTGATATCTTTTTATTATTATCACTCTTTCCATATACGCTATTATAGCTTATATGTGGATTTTTTATAACATGAATCAAAACATTAATATATTCTTCCAAGTTAGAATTGCTTAAACCTCCATCAGCTGATAAATTTAATTGTTCATAAAAATCATTCAAACCAGCTAGCTAAAAAAATTAAACATTAATAAAAAAAAAAAAAATAAAATAATATATTATATTTCTATATAAAATATAGTGAAACTTGTTATAAAAAAAAAATTAAAATAGATATTAAATATATATATATATATATATATATATATATATAATTAAAAAAAAAACTATATATTTAAGTGAAATGCCTATATAGGATTTTACAAAAAAAAATATAATAGCTTCTACATAAAATAAATGGATAATAATTTATATTAAATATTTATACATAAAAGAAAATTATAAAAACATAAATTTTACATAAATTTACAAAATTTTTATTTTATAAATTATTAATTTCCATGCAAAAAAAATAGGAAAAAAAAAAAAATAACTTATATATATACTTTTAAAATAAGGAAATATAGTTAGAAAAACTAATATTCAAATTAAAAAAAAAATAAAATCTAAAGAATTAAAAAATTTACCATTTCTGATTCATTTCCATTTTTGATACTGTTAATAATATAGGAGTATTGGGAATTCTCAAAAACCAAATATTTTTTCATTATGTTTTATTTCATAATATTATAACTATATATAAAACATAATGTATAGGAATGCAAAAAAAAAAAAAAATAAAATAAAATACTTGTAGCTTGTTATAAACTTAATATCTTTATATTTTACAATTAAATTTTTTTTTTTTTCAAAATAAATTAAATCAAAAACTTATAAATTAAAAACATAAAAAATACGAAAGAAAAATAAGGTTCATACATATATTTATGTGTTGAAATTTATAATATTGTATTTAGAAAAAATTATATAAAAATATTTCATTCTTTAAACAAAAAAAAGAATTAAATAAAAAATGTTAATTTTATAAATGCAAATGCATAAAAAAAAAAAAATAAAATTAAATATCTTTTTAATAAAAAGAAAATTAAACAATTATATATCATAATAATGTGAAAAAAAAAAAAAAAAAAATATACAAATTAAAATTGTATAGTGCTTTTTTTTTTTTTTTTTTTTTTTTTTTTTTTTTTT